TGGTCACAAACTGAACTGGACAAGAACTGCAGTGTATTTCTCCATAAGATCAACACTGACCCTAACCATTGAGTTTGATTTGATTCTCATTCAACTTGGTTTGTGACTAGAATCTTGGAAAGAATCAAGTTCATGAACCGAGATAGCACTGTAATGATAAAAGTATATGTACTAATAACAGTATATGCAGTAATAAAAGTTTAATAATAAAAGTATATAAAAGTGAATACACAAACCATGAGCATAGTCATTATCATTATCAAATATTATGTACTATACATAATCATATGTGCTACACTTTTATACAAATGGTAGGACAGTAGGTTTACCCAAGCATTGCCACAAACACAGGTATAATATTGTGCTCAGATGTTGGTGGTTAGACTGAGGTAGACGGTGAGTTCATTTTCTGATGTTGTTATCAGCTTTATTGAAATGGAATTGACATACCATAAAATTCACCCTTTTTAGTTGTACAATCCAGTGTGTTTTAGTATATTCCCAGGTTGTGTAACCGTCATCACCATCTATTTTTAGATAAAGAAGAAAAAGAAAACATGTATCCATTATCAGTCAATTGCATTCACCCTTTCTTTCCCTCAACACCCCAATTCAACCCTAGGCAATCACTATTTTATTTCTCAGCTGTACAGACTCGCCAATTCTGAACACTTCATAAAAATGGAATTATACAACATGTGATGTTTTGTGTGTGGCTTTTTTCTTTTAATATGATGTTTTCAATGTTCATTCATTTTGCAATTTCTATCAATATTTCTTTATGAAAATTTACCACATTTTACTTACCTTTTCATCATTTGATGAGATTTGACTTGTGTCTACTTTTTGGCTTTTACGAACACTGAGTTGTTCTACACATTTATATACCAGTTTTTGTGGGACATATATTTTCATTCTCTTGGGTGTATATCTAAGAGCGGAATGGCTGTGTCATGTGGTAATTCTATGACTAAACAGTTGAGGAATTTTCAAATTGTTTTCCAAAATGTCTGCACTGCTTTTCATTCCAAGCAAAAATGTATGAGAGTTCCAATTTCTCTACATCACTTATTGTCTTTTTGATTATAGCCACTCTAGCAGGTGTGAAATGGTATGACATCGTGGTTTAAATTTATATCTCCCTAATGACTAATGACATAGAGCATCTTGTGCATGTGGTTTTTGGACATTTATATATCCTTTTCTCCTGAGAAAATGTCTACGCAACATTTTGTTCATCTTTAAATCAGGTTATTTATTATTTAACTATGAGTTCTTATATATTCTGGATACATCTAAAAGGACCTTATTAGATATACAATTTGCAAATCTTTCCTTCTTTTCTATGGCTTGTCTTTTCACATTCTTTACATTATCCTTTGAAGGACAAAAGTTCCTAGTTTTGATATGGTCTGATTTATTTATTTCCTATTCTGTTACTTGAGTTTTTGTCATTTTATCTATGAAATCATTGTTCAGCCCAAGGTTATGAAGAATGACTTTTATGTTTTTCTCTAAAAATTTCATAGTTTTAGCTTATATTTATATCTGTGATAAATTTGAGTTAATTTTTGTGTATGGTATGAGGCAAGGGTTTAACTTTATTCTTTTTCATGTGACTATTGAGCAGTTCCAGCATCATTTGTTGAAAAAAACTTCTCCCATGGAATGTTATTATGAACTTAAGCAAAAATCAGTTGACCAGAGACATGGGAATTAATTTCTGGACTCTCAATTCTGTGTCATTGATCTTCATATCTACACTTTTTCTGGTATTGTATGTCTCAATTAGTGTAGTTTTGCAGACTTTTAGAGAGGAACTGTGAATGCTCCACCTTTATTCTTTCAAGATTGTTTTGGCTATTCAGGATCGCTTAACATTCCATATGTATTTGAATATTGGCTTTTCTATTTCTATAAAGAAGTCAACTGAAACTTAAATAGGAATTATGTTGAATTTGTAAATTAGTTTAATATCATCAATGTAATATTAAATTTTTTAGTCCATGAATGTGGGATATCTTTCCATTTATTTAGGTCTCCTTTAATTTTTAAACAATGTTTTACAGCATTTAGTTACATTTTTCACTTTTTTGTTATGTTTATGCCTAGATATTTTATCCTTTTTGATGCCATTGCAAAGGTCATTATTTTCTTAATTTTGTTTTCAAAATGTTCACAGATTGTACATAGAAATATAATTGCTTTTGGTACATTGATTTTTGAATTTTACAATATTTATTCTTTTTTTTCCAGTATTGGGGATTGAACCTGGGGCTAGGCAAGTGCTGTACTTCTGAGCCACATCCCCAGCCCTATTTGTTAGTTCTAATTGTTTTAAAATGCATTAGGTAGGATTGCTTTATACACAAGCTCACATCATCTATACATTTATATAGTTACTCCTTCCTTTATAGTCTGAATGTCTTTTTCTTCCTAGTTTCTTGTGTAACACCCCTTGCTCAAACAACCAGTACACTGTTAAATAAAAGTGCTAAAAACAGACATCTTTATCGTTTTCTTGTTCTCAGGGGAAAAGCATTAAATCAACATTAAATGTGCTATGAACTGTGAGATTCTCATAGAGTGGCTCTATCAGGTTGAGGAAGTCCTTTACTATTCCTAGTTTGCTGAATGTTTTTATTATAAGAAAGTGTTGGATTTTTGCCAAAACTTTTTTCACATGATTTTGTGTTTTATTCTATTTGTGTATCATATCACATTTCCTAGAATAACTCCCACATGCTTATGTTGTATGAACTTTTTTATTTGCAGTTGGATTCAATTTGTGAGTATTTTGTCAAGGATTTTGATGTTTGTATTCATAAAGTATATTGGTCTGTAGTACTTTTTCTTTGTGATGCCTTTTTAAAATTTCAAAATCATTGTAAGACTGTCATAAAATGATTTGGAAAGTTTTCTCTCCTCTTTTTTTTTTGAAAAGTTTGATAACAGTTTTTCCTTGAATTGATAGAATTTACTAGTGAAACAGTTTGGCCTAGGATTTTCTTTGTGCAAAAAGTTTTAGTCACCAGTGTAATATTTTTACTTGTTATAGATCTACTTAAATTTTTTGTTTTCTTCTTGAGTCATCTTTAATAATTTGTGTCTTTCTTCTAACTAGTTTGTTGGCATAGTTGTTTATAACATTTTTTAACGTCAGTGGTGATGCATTCTCTTGCATTCCTTAGTGTTTTTTCTTCTTGGTTAGTGTAATTAAAGCTTGTTAATTTTGTTGATTGTTTCAAAGAATCAATTTTTGGTTCTCGTGATTTCCTCTATTGTTTTGGTATTTCTTGTTTTATTTAATCTCATTCTAGTCACCATTATTTCCTCTCTTTTGCATGTGTTGGTTGTACTTTTCCTAGTTTCTTAAAGTAAAAGTTTATGTTATTGATTTGAGATCTTTCTTTTTTTAAATGTAGCTATTTATAGCTATAATTTTCTCATTGGCCACTGCTTTTAGTTTATCCTATACCTTTTAGTATGTTGTATTTTTGTTTCCACTCATTTCAAAATATTTTCTACTTTCTCTAGTGATTTTTTCCACGTATTGATGATTTAGAAATAATATTAATTTCACAAATTTGTGAATTCCTTAAATTTCCTTCTGTTATTGACTTCTGATTTAATTTCATTGTGATTTGAAAATATACTTTATATTATTTCAATCCTTTTAAATTTATTGAGACTTGTTCTATGGTCTGTCATGATTTAGCTGGAGAATTTTCTATGTGTACTTGAGAAGAATGCTTATTCTATTGTTGTTGGGTAGAATGTTCTATAGAATTTTGTTAGATCTAGTTGGTTTATAGCATTGTTCCCTATTTTCTTGTGACTCTTCTATCTAGCTCTTCTATTAATCATTGAAAGTGTGATGTGAAAGTCTCAAAATTGTCTATTCCTCCATTCAGTTCAGTCAGTTTTTGCTTCATTTTGAAGTACTATTGTTAGGTGTGTATATGGTCATAATTTTTATCTTTTTCCTGAATTGATCCTTTATCATTTGGATCATCCACCATTATTTGAAGAAAGTTTTTTTTTGTTTTAAAATCTATTTAGTCTGGTATAGGTATAGTAACTTCAATTCTCTTTTATTTACTATTTTCTTGGTGTATCATTTTTGGTTCTTTTACTTTCAACTTATTTGTGACTAGCAGACAGTTCTTATCACTCCACTTTAGGTATTCCAGATACACTAAAATCATCATCATTAATTTCTTTTCTGATTAGCTACCACTGATGAGCCTCCCCTCTTTTCTGAGGTTCTGAATTGTTATATAAGTACACCATCATAAAAATGAAAGCCAGGTGAGGAGTATTTTGTAGGCTGCAATATTGCTTAGAGCCATATACATTTAAAAATTTTTTGGAAATGGTAACGTCAAATCAAGATGCATCTGATGCTTATCCAAGTGCTGGTACTTTTTCCCTGATAATTTGGAACATTATTATTACATTGTGATATTATTATCTGATTTGAATGCTGGTCTAGAAATCTAGGGTCTTCCTTGTTACAGCTGAGCATCAAGTGCAGTTGTGAATTCTTGCCTCATGCCTGGGATCCCACCTTATCCTCCCTCTCCTTGCCTGCTTCTGGAAAGGAAATAGTGTGTAACAAGAGGAGTGCTGGAATGTTCTGGTCAGCAGCTGACTTTTATATCACTGTTCCTCTATTTTCTGAGACAAAAGAGATTAAATTAAAACTGGACCGGAGCCATTTCTGGTCTGCAGGGTTGAACTGTTTTTGGTCTTTGTAAATCCAAAAGATTTCACAGGATTCTCCCATTTGTATCCTCCCTGCCCCCATCCTGACCTTTACACCTTCCCAACATTAGGGAAAGGCAGGAAGTTTTCCCCTGTGGGTTTTCTTTATGACAACATGATAGGGCTAGTTGATCAACCCTAGGGAAAACCCCGAGTGAGAACACGCCTTCTTGTGTACATTTCCAAAATTTTGCTATAAGTAGAGCCATCTTGCATTGCTCTCAGAGCAGGACAGTACTGGCAAGGCACTGGGTACCCAGTACTGACCAGACCTGTTCTTTGAGCTGAAAATGATGTGCAGTAGCAAGACTTTGTTCCTGGCTGCTTTGATGTCAGTGCTGCTACTCCACCTCAGCAGCAAGTCAGAAGGTAAGTGCTGTCCTTTCTTCAAGCACAGGAGGCAGAACTGTTTTTCTTTTCCTCTAAACCTTGGGGTCTTGTGGGGGTCCTTAAGGGACCGAAGCCTTTTAGGAAGTATCCAAGAGGGAGTCACGAAGGCTGTCAGCTCTTTCAGGAATGGAGGAGAGCAGGGTTCCTGCTGCCAAGCAGTCTTCCTCTGTGCTGTCAGTCTCAGCAGATCTGGGGAGCGGTGGGCTTCCAGAGGCCCTTGAACTTCAGGACAAGGGCAAAGTGCCAATTCCAGGAGTAATGTAAATTGTGTGACTTTACCAGTACATAAGGTCCTGAAATGTAGGAAACACTTCTATTTCCTTAACCTTTTCACTTCCCAACTAAATAATGTCCTTTAGAAACAGATTTTGGCACCTGACCTCAATATCCCTACAGGCCTCGAGGATATGGCCTGTCAATTTTGAGCTAACATTTATTCCTTGGCTTAAGGCAGGTTATAGTTTAACTCAGGGTAGTGTCCAAGTATTGCTTTATTACTAAGGAAACATTACTTTTAGCAACAGGTGCATGCTTGAAAAGGCACATGTTGAGCTTCATGAACATAATTTAGAATTACTATTAAATGATATTACAATTGCAAAGTACATTAGCTGTAGCTCCTAAAAAATCAGATTTTCCTTTGTAATCCTACTTTTCAATATTCTGTAAGATAACAGATTAAAACCTGCCAATTTACTAATTTTTAGAATTTAGAAGCTTTATCTATGGTGTTCTTTTTTTTTTTTTTTTTCCCGAGTGGCATGAGGGAGAAGTGCCCATATTCTCAAGTGATTATAGTGAAGTGAAATATAATATTGTCAATTTGCATTTCTTACTAAAGATATTGTATCACTGAGAAGCAAGGATTTTTAATACTGTGTTGTTGAGCCAAAACTTCCCAGCACACCATTTTTTTAAAAAAAGAATTGGCAACTATGTTGAATTTGATCTCAAAGACCAAGACGGGTTTCAAAGAAATTAAAACTCTTCCATGAAACAGATTATTTAGCATATAAGCCAGAGTTGTTAGCTTCTTCATAGATTGATATAGTTTCACAATACCAACCACAGGAGAAGTTCATTCCTGGGACTCAATACCTTTCTTTTCTCTTTTAGCAGCAAGCAGCTTTGACTGTTGCCTCAAATATACACAACATGTAATTCCCACCAGTTTTATTGTGGGCTTCACACAGCAGCTGGCCAATGAAGCTTGTGACATCAATGCTATCATGTAAGTTATTAGTTAAATACATGGGAATTTTAGGTATAATTGTTTTGGAGTGTCATTCAGAAATACATATGAAGTTAGAAAGTTTGAGTAGTAAATATCTACTTTACAGTCACTTTAAATAACACTGAAATACTCAAAAGCTTAATTGAAAACAGAAAGACAGTAAGAATGGAAATCACTTTCTAAGGTAATCTTACAGGCTATTAAATACTTTCTCAGGAATATATGGAAGACATGTTTTGAAATGAGCATCTTTTATCAAAAATGATTGGGGTTGTAAGGAAAATCTCAGGGTAATTATACTGTCACATGCAATATTCCTGACTCATATGGAGTACTATATTTTACAATGATATAAGTTATTGATCATATATATATATATATTTCTTATAAACTGCAACTGCAATAGCAGCAACAAAATTAAATAACACTTCTGGGATTTTATCTTTTCACTACTGTAAAATCATTTGTTACACTGCAGATAAAGTCAAGGAAAATCACCTTCATTTCTTGTGTCAAGATTTATCTTAAACATCCTTTGAGTTTTACCTCATTAGATGAAATGTTTAGCATGTAGAGCAATCAACTGGAATGTGAAATTTCCATTGGGTATTCTGTGAAAAAGCGTTTAAAACTTGTTAAACACAAATCATTTTTTCTGATCTTTCAGCTTTCACACAAAAAGAAGATTATCTGTGTGTGCAAACCCGAAGCAGAACTGGGTGAAGAAGGCTGTGCGCATTCTCAGGTATGGATCTCTGACTGGCATAGAAAGGCAAGTGCTCAGAGCAGGGTTCACAGGCTCACTGGGACTGTTCAGCCTCCGTGCCGAGGAACTTTTAAAGCCAACATTTGGGTTGCACCATAAAAACAGAATGTATTTTTCTACTTACAGATTACCATTATCTCATTTCATTCATTTTTTTTTTCTAGGATGTATTAGCTTCCTCTATACATTTGCTAGTCACAAGTTGCTTGCTTCTTGTTGCAGAAATGATTCCTATAGGAGTACCTGAAATTTAGTTGTGTGTTAAAAACTGAAAAATAAACATTAAAGAGATGAGTGGTTTTGAGTTACACTGATGGTAAGAGTAACATTTTATCAGTAGATAGCGTCTGACATCAATGTGCCATAGATGGAGTCGGAAACACAACGCAAGTGCTCCTATCCTGTTTCTGCAATCGGTTTAGTTAACCTGGGGAAAGCTCATCCTTTCTCACCGCAATCTCCTCGTGGACTCTGAGTTGTTTTTCATTTTGAGATGAGGCTAAGGGCCTGGGGAGCAACCCTTTGGTACCAAAGCCATTCCCATAGCCACTAACCATGTTTGGGCTTACAATTTTCTTCCTTTTCTCTTTACAGCAAAAAAGTCAAGAAGATGTAAAAACATATGCTCTTTCGGAATGAAATTGGACACAGCTCAAGAACAAAAAGAACATGGCTGGCATTGGTGGTTTCATTAGCACACCATCTAGCACTCATCTGATTCTTGCCTTATTGGACTTGTCCAGTTGATGAAGTTGATTCATATTGCATCATAGTTTGCTTTGTTTAAGCATCACATTAAAGCCAAGCTCTATTTTATGTTATTTATAGCTGTAGAATTTTTTTGTGTTTAGCTATTTATACTAATTTCTCATAAGCTATGGCTTAGTGCAAGGTATAACATTATATTTGGGGGTTTGTTTTTGGTACCGGGGATTGAACTCGGGTCCTTGCACTTGCACAGCAGGTGGCTAAACCACTGAGCTAAATCTCTGGCCTTATAATATTATATTTGGAGGAATACAATTACATTGGGTCTTCTTGCAAGTAGTAAGCTATTTTTTTTTTTTTTGTATTGGGGATCGAACGCAGGACCTTGTACTTGCAAGGCAGGCACGGTGCCACTGAGCTAAATCCCCAGCCCATAGTAAGCTATTTAAAAAAACTATTTAACTTTCCTTTGTGTATATACTTTTGTTTCCTAAATTGTTGTAATTACCTTTTAAAGGGAAAAATGATTGTAGAAGGGTAAATTCTGAAAATAAAAGAACCAAAAAGTTACTTGTTGATAGTCATATATTATTTATTAAGATGGTATTAAAAACATTTAAAGGTAGAGAAGATATAAATATTTTATGAAAAGTTGTATTCCTACCTGGCTGCTCCCCTCTATCTTTGTCCCTCATGGTCCTGGATTTGAGTCTATACAAATTATAATGAAAGGTATTTTAAAAGTTAAAGCCATACACACCAAAAATTAGAAATATCTTCTATTTGAGATCCATAGCCCAGTGTTTATTAATATAAGTTCTTAAAACACTGTGTGACTTTAGGAACACAACCACTATTCAAAAAATACCTGGGGAAATCAATCAATCCATCATCGTGCCACTAGGCAGGATGCTAGGAATGTTCATTTCAGCACAGGAGCATATCTCCTCTTCAAAGTTCTTCTGAATCATCTTTAAGGAGTTTCCAACAGGACAATCCCTCTTGGAAAATGCTTAGAAACAAATTGACCCCCTAACAAGATGGGAGGCTTCAAACATGTAAAAGCTAGCAAAGTTCTTGGTAATAAGGCGAAGGGACCCTGAGCCAATGTCGTTACCATCACAAAGTTCGTGTACCGAAGCTCATGGAGTGCCTCACTCCAGATGCTCTGCCTTAGTTGCTGAAGGATCTGAAGGTTCACTGAGTCAGGTGTGCTCCTAATAAGACACAAGATCCAGATGCGAAAATCCATAAAGCACGGCAGAGGTTGGTCATCTGATAAAGAGCTAGAGAGCATGGCTCAGTATGCCCCACAGACATCTCTGTGCTCAGGAGGAGTAACCCTGAGTTATCAGGGAAAGTATGCTCAACATCCTGTCTGTTTATTCAGCAAACATAAATTTAGAATTTATTATACATGGACAGGGGGCATGTATAATAAATTTATTATACCAGGCAGGGGGCCAAGTGCTGGGAGATAAGTGATGTAACACTTGGTAATTTGCTCATAGATAATTAGGGTTAAGCAATGTGGCAAGGGGAAGGATTAGGGTTTAGGGTACTACAACACCTGCTAGTAAGCACTGTAATACACTACATCACAGGTGCCACTGGGTATCATTAGTGAGTGCTTCCTGAAGGAAAGAATAGTCACTTAACTGTATTAAACAGCTGATGTCCCATGCTCTTGACATGGACAGAAGGCAGTTTCACATGGTTCAGCCCAAATCTTGAGCTGAGGTATGAAGGGTCAGTAGGAGGCAGGCAGCTGGAAAAGGGGCTGGAAGGAGTACTTGAAAATATCAGGGAGGATGTTTTAGTTGACACAATATCCCAAGGTGGGGTTCTACAGGTGCCTGGGATGCTAACCCTACAGGAATGCACAGGATAGTTCTGCACAATGAAGAATTGTGCCACCCCAAATGGCAATTGCACCACTACTGAACAATGAAGCAAATGTGTGCAATTAGCAGGGAGGTGGGGCAGATCAGGTGCAGATGAAGCGAAACTGTTACCTGAACTCAGTGTAGTGGTTTGAGCTTGAACATGGAAATACTAGGGAAACACTGAAAAAGCGAAGTCAAAGGAGAGGGAGGTGGGTCAGAATGGGAAGCAGAGGAATCAGAGTCAGCTGCAAGGAGTGGGCTGAGAAATGGGGAAAAGTCAGCAGAAGCCAAAATGGAAGAAAGCTCCAGAAGAGATGAGTTGCCAATCCCGAGGCTCATCCTAGACCTCCTCCCTGACACCCTCATTGGGCAGCCTTGTTTGGAACAGCACAGCCACAGGCAGCCATTGTCTGGGGACAGCAGATTTTGCTGACTGCAGGGACTCATCACCAGCTAAGCCTTGTAGAGTGACACAGATTTTGTCTAGTTTCTGAAGGTATCTGAATCTTTTGGGACCAGGAGTATTAAGAACTTCTGGGTAAATTTTTGGAGGCTGAAATCTCCAGGTAAGAATGCCAATTTATTAATCAACAATAGAAGAATCAAGGTGTCTAGTACCTGTGCAAAGGCACTGGGTAGATGGAGTGAGCAAGTCACTTGAGAAATCACACACAAGTCACAGAGCTGAGCTGTTAAGCTTAGGACCAGAGTGCCGGGCCTCATTCTGTAATATGAATGTTTAATGCATTAATTTCAGTGGACTAGTGATGCTGCTCTCAGTTCAACTTATTTTTCATTTTGGAAAATGTTTATCTATTTAATTTTACATTAAGGTATAATTTAGTTGCTGTACCATACACATATCTTATGCATGCAGCTTGATGAATTCTTGCACATGTACATACTTGAGCAGCAAGACTTCCCTTTAAGGATAATAAACATTTTCAGTACCCTGGAAGGCTCCCTCAGCCCAAACGTGCAGCTGTTCTGACCCAGTCACAACAGATTGGCCTCTCGGTTTCACGTATATAGAACTATACAGAACGTGCTGTTTGGTGTCCTGCTTCTTTTTACTCATTTTTAATTATATGTGTAATTTATGAATTCACTCTCACTCTTATATTAGAATTCACTCTCACTCTTAGAAATTTATGAATTCACTCTCACTCTTAGAAATAGTGATAAGATGAATAACAGCGATAAACTTCCATCGAGACCCTTCCTTTCTGGGAGTAACCCTTGAAGATGCCTCTGCTAGGTCCTAGTTAAGTATCCCCTTTTGTTTTTTACAGTCTTCTTAAGAACATAAGTAGCCACCACTAATTTATAGTCCAAGGCTAGTCTTGTCTTCTAGAGTTACTCTCTGAATGTCTCTGAGGTTTTCAGTCAGATACTTTCTGGAAGTCTTCTGTGTGAGATTGCTGATGTATGGTCATAGGTGTACCCTACATCTGGCTGACTTGCTATGTTCTCAGGTTGTCTCCAAGTTCTTCAGTGTCCAGTGCATGTGCTTCCCATTAGTGTCAGAGGTCATTAAGAGGGTAAATGAGATGCAGATGGGACATCGTTTTTTGACTCTGGCAATCTATAGGTTATTGGTCTCTGTAGGTCACTGGTAACTTGGTTGTATTTGTAGAGATAGTAAGGAAGAGAATCCCAAATGATAGTAGGTGGAAGACTGAATAGAGACAAATGGCTCAGCAATGAAAGCAAGAGGAGGCACAACCTAGAAGCTGGAATACTTTAATATGGAAAAGTATTGAAATGGGAGAGATTAAAAATACTATGATTCTATTAAAGAGCAGTGGTTCAACTTCAAGAAGTAGGACACATGCATAAAGAATGGGAATAGGTGGGAGAGAATTTTACAATTTGGGATGGAGGAAGCTGGAGTTTGAATCTTGTGGTCCTGCTTTTCTCGGTGAAAGGCTCATCTCTGGAGAGTGACGGGGAGTACAGGGCAGGGCTGGGGCTTTGAGATGAAAAGAGACACTTTGAGATAATGACAGACAGGGACACAAGGAAAGGTTGTTCCCAGGGGTTGGGGCTCCACTGAGGTTGGAGATGATGAGACTGCTGTGCTGCAGCAGTGGCTGCAACTGACAAGATCCAGGTGTAGAAGTAAATGGCAGCTGGTTCGATGAATGCAGATGCCTTGTTTCAGTGAGGGGGGATATGGAATCAATATGAAGTGCTGCACCATAAATTCTGGACCGGAGTCCAGAGATGAAACCTGAGAGGATCTGAGAGACTGGAAGGAAATGGAGAGGCCCTCAGATGAAAGGGCTTAATGTGGTTGAAGGGTAGGAGAGTCCATGGGCTGGAGGGACTAGACCAGCTCCAGGAGCTGAGGTCCAGGGTGTGACTGTGGGTGGAGAGTTCAAGTGCAATGTGACTCTGAGCGTGTCTTAGTCACTTAGTCCTGTCTCTAGGACAAAATACTCAATGCCCACAACTTAAGGGAAGAAAGGATTATTTTGGCTCAGGGTTTTTAGAGGGTTGGGTGCATAGTTGGGAGGCCTCAAGGCAGAAAGGGCATGGTAGAAGGGCTTGGTTGGGAAAAGCCGCTCAACCACACAACCAAGAAGTAGAGAGAGACAGGAGAAGCTGGGGACAAGACTATACTTTTCCGGGTCACACCCTCAGTTACCCTCCAACCAGGCCCCACCTCCTAGCAGCACATGCAGATCTGGACTCACCAATGGATGGATCCACAGATGAGTATGACACCTCCATGATTCGATAATCACCCTTCAAGCATGAGATTATTTTGGGGGACATTTTAGATCTAAACCATCATACAAGACTATCGGGTTGGACCAGTCATCCTATTAGGACAGGGCAAATCCAAAAACAGAAATTCTTGTAAGGAGACCCATGTACCCATCACCCAGGGGCAACTAACAAACAACCAATCTTGTTTCACTTATATCACCCAACTCATCTTCCACCTTTTCTCATATTCCCTGGATTACTTTACAGCAATTTCTTGAGCTAAACTAGTTTGTCTATATTTTAATATATATAAATTGTAAGGGCTTTTAAAAACACATAATTTCATTATCATAGATTTAAAAATCAGCACTAACTCCCTAATGTCACCACATATCTTTGTTAACATTCAAACTTCCATGTTATTCTTCTATTTATTTTATGAAAAAATAAAACATTTCATAATAAAATGAGTGACAATAGTTAATACACTGTGTATCATTATCTTCAAAGTAGCTACTCAGACTATGTGATATAGACAAAATGATTCTCTTACAAAGAAGAAACAATCAGAAAATAGCAAAAAAGTTGAGTTAAAATCATATTACAGGGACACATGTTTATAGCAGCACAAATTATAATACCTAGACCTTGGAAACTGTGTATGTCCATCAACAGATGAAGGATAAGGGAAATGTGGTATTTATACATGATGGATAAACTTGAGGCCTGATACTGTTTTAAATGACATTTTAAAAAAAGTTGAATTGTTTGAATGAAGAGCCAAAGTAGAGATACACACACTGCATTTTGTTTTTGTTTTTACATTTAATCTGCAAGTTCCTTAGCACCAGCTCCTTTGGTCTTTCTCTTGCAGTTTATGGTTTGGATAGAAGATGTGTATAGTCGTCCATCTTTTGGGCTTGGTTGATTGCATGGCTGTAGTGCTACTC